TGTGCAGGAGGCAGCTGATCGATGTTTCTCATTCATCGATGTTTCTAACTCTCTATCCCTCTCTCTTCCTCTCTGTAAAAAATCAATAAAAATGTATTAAAAAAAAAAAAAAAAGAATGGCCTGCCCTAGCCGGTTTGGTTCAGTGGATAGATGTGGGCCCACGGACTGACTGAAGGGTCCTGGGTTTGATTCTGGTAAAGGACACATGCCTTGGTTGCGGGCTCCCGGGGCCTGGTCAGGGTGCCAACCAATCGATATGTTTCTCTCACATCGTTGTTTCTCTCTGTCTCTCCCTCTCCCTTCCACTGTCTCTAAAAATCAATGGAAAAATATTCTCAGGTGAGGACTAACAACAACAAAAAAGAATGGCTCCTCGAGCCAGTGTCTCTCAGTGGCTGAGTGTCAACCATGAAGCAAGAGTTGACTGTCTCCATTTCCAGTAGAGGGCCTGCAGTCGATGTCTAGCATCATAAACATGAATTAATGTGGGCAAAGTACCCGGCACAGGATAGGCAGCTCTGAGTATAGGTACTGTTACCACTGGGCCAGCAACAGGGCATGGTGGAAGGTGAACAAGTTCCGGAGCCAGACAAACCTGGTTGCCAGTCCTGACACTGCCACTTAATGACTCTGATGTTGGGCAAGTTCAGTTTCCTCATTTGTAGAACTGAAGGTGAGAGCCAGGAGCTCTCCCAGGACTGCTATGGAGTAATGCCAGGGAGGAGCTCAACATGGGCCTGGCATTCAGCAAACCATTTCTAGTACTCACCTCTTTGCCTCTGTCTAGTGAGTCCAAGCCCATTTTACAGATAAGGAATCTGAGGCTGGAATCCAGGACTTCTGACACTTTTTCCAGTGTTCAGGGCCCTTGAAGAAGAGCAGGCATGCCGTGAGCCAGCAGGATGTGTTGCTGGTAAGGAAGGGTGAGTGTTGGCAGGGCCTACTGGGGGCTTTTCTTGCTGAGGGAAGCAGGAAGTACCTTCCCCCACCCTCATCCAGGCACCACTCAGGTACCTGCACAGGCTTGTCCAGCCCAGACTGGGGTGGGGTAGGTGGGGCTGGCAAGAGCAAAGGTCACCCCTCGGGCCCCATACAGTCCCCCAGCTAGCTTGTTTTCCAGGAACAGCAGAGAAGTAAAAAACCTTGTTTTCAGCCAGGATCAGCCTGGCTAGAAAGTGGACTTTGGCTTTTTTAGCAGGCTCAGATGGGGCCTGCCAGCTGAGGCTAGTAGATGGGGGATGAGAAAGTAAAATGCATTTCAGGCAGTGCCCTCATCTTTTCTGAGGTCCAGAGAGGTGAGGGCCTTGCCACAGTTGGCATAGCCAGTTCACAGAGGTGCAGGGTCCCGGCCTTCTCAGCGTCCCTTGGCCTCCTCCTCCCCACCTCCATTCTTTCGATCACTCCACAGATGTGTTTATCAGACATAGTACACTGGGTGCTTGGCTCTGGGAGCCCAAGGATGAGTAGTTGAGGATCCTGCCCTCTAAAAGAGGCTTGAGAAGAAGTGTAGACTTGAGGGACTCACCCCTGGAGGCCATGAACTGTGCCTAGGGCCTGTGTGTGTGTGTGTGTGTGTGTGTGTGTGTGTTAATCCTCACCCGAGGATATTTTTCCATTGATTTTTTTTTTTTTTTTTTTTTAGAAAGAATGGAAGGGAGGGGGAGAGACAGAGTGAGAGAAACATTGATGTGAGAGAGACACATTGATTGGCTGCCTCCTGCACTTGCCCTGATTAGGGCCAGGGATTGAGCCTGCAACCAAGGTATATGCTCTTGACCAGAATAGAATCCAGGACCCTTCAGTCTGTGGGCCAAAGCTCTAGCCACTGAGCCAAACCCTCTCCCTCTCCCTTCCTCTCTGAAATAAAAAATATATTTTAAAAAAGAATGCATAAATAAGTGGAACAACAAATCAATGTTTTTTTGTTTCATATGACCCAATGCTGGCTGGCTGGCTGATCTCTGTTCCCATACTCTTCCCTTTACTTGATTCTAGCCACACTGGCCTTTGAGCTCATGGATCATAATCAGCTCTGTGCTGCCTCAGAGTCTTTGTCCATGCTGTTCCCCCTGCCCGGAACCTGGCTTAATCCCCTCAGAGTTTGCCTGGTTAGCTCTTACTTATATTTCAAGTCCAGGCTTAAATGTAACCTCCTCAGAGATGCCTTCCCTCACTCCCCTATCAATAGAAGGTCTCTCCTATTATTGCATCTCAATCCATTCCCCCATAGTACCCACCACATCTTGTATTTATATACTTCTTAATAAAGTTTTTTAAATTAATTTTAGAGACAGAGAGAAGGGAGAAACATTGATTTGTTGTTCCACTTATTTATGCATTCTTTTTTAAAATATATTTTTTATTTCAGAGAGGAAGGGAGAGGGAGAGAGAGATAGAAACATCAATGATGAGAGAGAATCATTGATCAGCTGCCTCCTGCACACCCCCTACTGGGGATCGAGCCCGAAACCTGGGCATGTGCCCTTGACCGGAATCAAACCTGGGACCCTTCAGTACACAGGCCGATGCTCTATCCATTAAGGCAAACTGGTTAGGGCCATTGGTTGATTCTTATATATGCCCTAACCAGGGATCGAACCCACAACCTTGGCATATCAGGATGACACTCTAACCAACAAATGCCAGGGCCTTTAACATTTTTAGTGTTTGTTTCCTCACTATCCTCCAAGCTCCATATCTGGTGGTTTCTCCCTTTGATCCCTATTGCCTCTCTCTTTGCCTGTTACATAGTAGCTGCATGATAAATATTTGTCGAATAAATAAGTGAATCAGTCAAGATGTTGGTAGTGGAACTAATACCAAATCAGAAAGGGACTGCCAAAAAAAGAAAAGAAAAAGAGGAATATAATGAACAACATAAACTGATGAACAAAAACAGAACCAGAGTCATAGAAACATCGAACAGACTGTAACCTATGAGGGCAGGTGGGGGGGGGGGGGGAGGCGGGCAGTGAGGGGGTAAGATCAACCAAAAGACTTGTATGCATGCATATGAGCAAAACCAATGGACACAGACAGTAGTGGGGTGAGGGCTTGTGCTTGGGGGTGGGGGTGGCAAGAGGTCAATGGGGGAAAAAGGAGACTCATGTACTACTTTAAACAATAAAGATTTTTTTTTTTAAAAAGGGACTGTATCCCAGTTGGGCATGTATAAACACAGAAAAATACACCACAAGTCCAAAGCTCTATTAGGAGGAATGTTTAATTAGCCAAATAAAAATGGCTCCATGGAAATGACTTCCTGACCCAGGATCCATAGGGAGGACATGCTCTTAGGGTTATTTTTTCAGTGGGAACATCAGGGTCTTCAGTACTCTCCTCCTTCTCCACAAAGAGGGAGGCTGGTAAATTGAATGCAGTGTTGGTATATCTACACAGTGAATCAGTGCTGGTCTATATACAAATGTTATGTGATTCAACAGAAAGAAATTTAAGGGAAGAAAGATCACATGGGGTGGGGGTGTTTTCAGGCCCACCTGGGGACAAGAGATGAAATCTGGCACACTGGAGCCTTCCTGTCTCTGAGATGGCAGGGAAGTGTGGTGTTAAAAGACGTGGCCTGGTTCAAATTCCAGCTTTACCACTTACATACTATGTAACCCGAGTGGGGTACTTCACCTCTCCCAGCCTCACTTTTCTGTAAATTGGAAATGAAAATAGAACTGACATTAGAGAATTAAATGAGAATATGTGCAAAGCCCTCAACACAATGTCTGGAACGTAGTAGGTGCTCACTAAAAAGGGTCTTAGTTGTGGAGCAGAGAGATTTAATCAAGCTCTCCCAAGACATGGCCTCTCCCTCACAATCATCCAACTCTTTCACTTTCTTTGTTAGTTTTGGCTTCCTGGTCCCCTGACAACAGAAGGTAGTGTTCTGGATTCTGGCCTCTAGAAAGGTAGAAGACTCATTTTAATGTGGATTGTGGTGAACTTACCATTTGAGACTCTTCCCGCTGCTGCCCTCCATAGTTTCTTTCTTGATACAGCAGGCTCTACTGGGGAAGTCACTTTCTTCTAGGAACCCCAGTTTCTTAACTGAAAAGTAGGTAAAAACAGCCCCATGTTTCCTGCTTACTGAGTTTTATGTAAGTCAAAAGCCAGGAGCCAGGCCCACCTGGCTCAGTGGTTGAACATTGACCTATGAACCTGGAGGTTGCAGTTGGATTCTTGGTCAGAGCACATGCGCAGATTGCAGGCTCCATCCCCAGTGCGGGGTGTGCAGGAGGCAGCCAATCAATGATTCTCTCTCATCATTGATTTTTCTGTCTCTCCCTCTCCTTTCCTCTTTAAAATCAATTTTAAAAATATATATTTTTAAAAAGCCAGGAAAGTTCATTGCAACCAGAAAAGCTTTAATCCTGACCTTATATGCAGACCTCCCTTCTTCGTGCTTCAGTTTCTCTTCCTGTAAAAAGGGGAGAGGTCTACTGCCTCTTTGGGGGGGGGGGTCGCTTTAAAATTATGTGTTCAAAATAATTGTTCTGGACGTAGAGTCGGAAAGATGCCTTGAATTCTGGAAAAGGACAAGGCAGGCCCTTTGCTTCCTCTGAGCACCTCTCCAGGTAAGCTTGGGGTGGCAAGTAAACGTGTGCCCTCTGCTGGCCGGGACAGGAGATAAACCCTGGGAAGCGGGGAGAACCATGGTGGCTCAGGGAGACATTTCAGAGAGGGGTAAATGGAAGGGGGATAAATAGAAGGGTCTACATGTGAACAGATTACTAGGAGGCTAAAGAGCTACAACGTTGGTGCAGTGCTTGGAATGCAGATGGAAGGACAACTCGCGTTGCGGGTGATGGTTGCGCCTCTCTGGATTCTGATCCATTTGGTTTGTTCCAGAGCGCTTGTCAACAACTTCAGAGGACCCGGGCGAGGAGCATCCTGGGAAATGTAGTTGATAGGCGCGCTCTCCGCGCCGCAGCCCGGTGCCCTCGGAGGCGAGGGGACTCCATTTCCCGAGGTGCCTTGGGTCGGGGGCGGAGGGCTGCCGTAGCGTCGGCCCGGCCGAGTCGGGGGTGGGGGCTCCGAGGCTGAGGCTTCCGCGGCCGTGGGCTGTTGTCCGTGCGGCCTGCTCCTGGCCATGTCAGCGTGAAGACGCCGCCGCTGCTGCCCCCGTCCTACTCGGTCCTGGCCGGCCCGGCCCGCTGTGACCATGGGCTCCATCCTGAGCCGACGCATTGCGGGCGTGGAGGACATCGACATTCAGGCGAACTCGGCCTATCGCTACCCCCCGAAGTGCGGTGAGTGGCGGACTCGGGCGCCAACGGCGTGGCGTGGCGCGGACTTGGCGGCCGGCGGGACGGGCGAGGCGCGCCGGTGCGGGGCCCTCCGCGCAGGGGTCGGCTGGGGAGCTCTACTGGGTTCCCGGCCTTGCCTGCCATCTTCCTGCCCGGAGCTCCGCGCGCCCTCGACCCGGCCCCCGGGGCGTGCGTGGGGCCCTGGACGGACCTCCTCGTCCAGGCTGGGTGACCTTGGGTCAGTCACGTCGCCCTGAGCGCCTCGGCTTCCGGTCTGCACACTTGGGAGACCCTCGGGGACCAGCTAGGGCCCGGATGAGGTTTCGGGCGCGACGCTGCCAAGGGGTTAGCACTGTGCCCGGCGCTTCGCTTGTGCTTACAAAGTGGTCATTGTCATGAAGATTGACTTCACACCATCGCCGGTTTGGGCTCTCTTTGGTGACTTGGTGCGAAGACCCAGACAGGGTTCAGGACGCTCTCCATCCCATATGGACAGAGACGTAGCTCTCCTGGGACTCCTGGCGCCTGTGGATGCTGGGGAGATGATTCTAACCGCCGGGGGAGAGGCTGGGAGTCTTTTTGGAGAACAGGAGAATGGTGGGAGGGGACCTCTGGGTTCTCTGGTCTCCTTTTTTTGTGACGAGGGACCTGAGCCACCAGGGAGGGTGTGACTTTCCCGAGGACTCAGGGAGGGATTGGAAGCACATCTGGGACCAGGAATCCGGCTCCCAGATGAGCTGTTCCTACTCTGTTCTGGTGCCTTTAATAAGAAGTGTGGCCTGACCCAGAACTTTGGCCCCAGTTCCTTATTGTCCGTCTCCTCATCTGGTCATTTGCCATGGAAAGAGAAGAAAGAGGATAGGGAGTTGGGACATCATGGGGACGTCCATGTGGGGTCCTCTGACCCTGGCTTCTGAAGCATCTGATCTGATGCGGTCTTCTAGGCCTCACAGCTGGCCTGTGGGCACACTTCCCAGGCCCTGCTTCAGACCTGCCTGGGCCTAGGAACCTGCATTTATAACCTATAGTCTATTGTCCGCTCAAGTTTGAGAACTGCCCTGCCCTGATTTGGGAAGGTGAAAGAAGTGGAGTGTCTGGAGCTACTGGATATAAAGAGGGTTGGATATGGATTTAGGACAGTCAGAAGGAGATGCAATCACAGCCGGGCAGAAGGTACTGTTGTCTACTAGTTGGGGAGTTCCCCATGCCTGCTTGTGTCCCAGGCACAAAGGCAGGGCAGCCCAGCCTGGTTTGGGGACTCCCTGGAGGCTCTGTGGGCTGACTTCCCCAGATCTGATGGAGCAGCTGTTGAAGTCATCTTTTTCATCGCTTATGTTCTTCCAGCCTGTCTTTAGCTGAGTGACCTTAGGCAAGTTGCTTCGGCCCCTGGGTCACAGTTTCCTCATCTGTAAAATGGGCTGATCCTTGTACAGTACTCAGAACAGTGCCTCACACCTAAGAACCCTCGAAAAGTATTAGCTGCTATAATGGCTTAAGAAGGAAATACGGTGATTAGCTCAGACCCTAATAGCAGTTAGCAGTGGTGTGGCAGAGATATAAAAAAATTTAATGTGGTGCCAGGCTTGTGTGGTTCAGTGGTCATGGTTTGATTCCAGGTCAGGGCACATACCTAGGTTTCAGGCTCAATCCCCAGTAGGGGCATGCAGGAGGCAGCTGATCAGTGATTCTTTCATCATTGATGTTTCTATCTCTCTCACTCTCCCTTCCACTCTCTGAAATCAATAAAAAACATTTTTTTTTTAAAAAAAAAGTTTAATGTGGCACTTGGGACCAGAGCAAACTTGATGTCCCTTCACTTGGGCCTTTTTTTTGTTTGTTAATCCTCACCTGAGGATATTTTTTTCCATTGATTTTTAGAGAGAGTGGAAGGGAAGGGGAGAGACAGACAGACACATATCGATTGGTTGTCTCCTGCACGCGCCCCTACCAGGACTGGGGATTGAGCCTGCAGCTGAGGTACTTGCCATGGACCCGAATCAAACCCGAGATTTTTCAGTCCACTAGCTGATGCTCTATTCACTGAGCCAAACTGACTAGGGCTTCTCTTGGACCTCTGGACAAAGCCACAAATACAGGCATTTGCAGCACCATTTTCGGGTTCTGCGTGGCAGACCTTGCTAATCACTCAGGGCACTCTTTCCAGCTGAGCCTGGACTTGGTTTCAGAATCCACCAATGAACACCCCAGTCAGCCACAACTAGTAGATTGGTACTGGCATCCAGGTGAATGCCATGGACCACCTTGGTTTTGCTGCCAGTGACTGCAGTGTTTGGGGCCTGTCCAGTCCAAAGCTGTCCTTTCTCCTTCTTTGTCCCTTGCTTGGAGAGGGTCAGTTGGAGGCAGAGGAGATCTTAGCAGTACTTTAGTATGTGTTCCCAGCAGTAGACTGGGGACTACAGGAGCATTTGAGATGATTTTAGCAGGTTCCCCAAAGGATCTTTCAATTGATTTATTTTTTTAAAATAATTATTATTTTTTTAAAATATATTTTTATTGATTTCAGAGAGGAAGGGAGAGAGAGATAGGAACATCAATGATGAGAGAATCATTGATCGGCTGCCTTCTCCACGCCCCACACTGGGGATGGAGTCCACAACCTGGGCATGTGCCCTGACTGGGAATCAAACCATGACCTTCTGGTTCAGAGGTTGATGTTCAACCACTGAGCCACAGCAGCTGGGCTCAGTTGTTTTAATGAGAAAGTTGTTACCTTTTCAGATCTCTGCCATTTTGTTGATTATATAAGGAGAAAGAATCCTTGGTGCTAATATTTTTTAAACATCTCTAACTGTCCAGTTTTTCACTAAGCTTTATTAAGATCTTAGTAGTCAGGTGCACAGATTCTGCACATTGAAAGGAAATTAATTAGAAGAAATATTTTAATATCACTATTTGCCCTTTTTCTATAATAGAAACGTCAACTAAATTCACGATTGACAATGACAGATCAAAACACACTCGAGCGATTGGTACCAGCAAGAGCTTTATATGTATTGCACATGTGTGAGTCAACTTAGCCTTTTACATATATAGAATAAACTTGCTTAATTAGACCTGCTTTCTGCTTTAGCTAAACTTTTTCCAGCCCAGTGAAGTACCCCAACTTCTCTTTTTGGTAATTGTCAGCAACACAGCAGTAAATATCAACACGAAGCAGATTATTATTGTAGACCACACAGGGAGGACAGATGGTAACATATTTAACTGCAGCAGTGTTTGACTATATCAGGGGTCCTCAAACTACGGCCCATGGGCCACATGCAAATACAAATATTGTATTTGTTCCGTTTTGTTTTTTTACTTCAAAATAAGATATGTGCAGGAATTTGTTCATAGTTTTTTTTAAACTATAGTCTGGCCCTCCAGCGGTCTGAGGGACAGTGAACTGGCCCCCTGTTTAAAAAGTTTGAGGACCCCTGGACTATATTCTGTGCAGTGAGAAAACCTGAAGTCATTTTCAAGGTCCACCATTTTTTACTTCTTTTCATTCAGGTCAAGTTTCTAAACTTTCTAAATTTCCGTTTTCTGGCTAATGAAAAGAAAATAGGATTCTACCGAGTCTCCTATCTACTTACTCCAGGACTTCTGTGAGGATCAACTGAGATGAGGCATGGGAACATGCTTCACAGACATTTGGTTAAAGTGTAAAATGTTTGCACCTGGCTATAAAGCAAGTCCTGTTCCTGGGCTGGAGAAACTGCAAGGAGGCTAATTGTTAGGGAGAGGAAGCTGGGCATTGCTATATGACATCATTACCCGGTGCCCACAGTGACCATTTCCAGGCTGGGCTGAGCATTGGGCCGCATTTTGTGCCATGGGGTCTTGGTAGCATTGGCTGCGATTTGGTGGGGTGTCACTCCAGGATGGTGGAGGGGCCTGTGTCCCACTTGGGTGAAGCCGAGTGTTGCTTTGTTGATGCCAGGTCTGCGGTGCTGTTCCTTTGTAAATGGCCAGTGTGTGTCACAGCAGCTCCTGCATTGAGGGTCTTCCCCCGATGGTCAGTGTCTGTCATAGTGACCGGTCGGATGGTTGGAGGGATACTTAGCATATTAGCCTTTTATATATATATATATATATATATATATAAAATATATATGTATGTGTGTGTGTATATATACACATACACACACACACACAGTGGGGCCTTGACTTACGAGTTTAATTCATTCCGAGACCGAGCTCGTTAAGGAGCTCATTAAGGAGCTCGTTAACTCAAATTACTCTATCAACTCAATGCAAAAAATCGGCCGAAAGACAGCTGGTATCTCAAAAAACTCATTAGTCGGGACACTCATAAGTCAAGGCCCCACTGTATATATATATATGAATGATATATATGATACATATTCATGTATATGATATATATGAATGATAATTGGGCCTGGCTGGCATGGCTCAGCATCAACCTATGAACCAGGAAGTTCAATTCCCAGTGTGGGATCATTGATGTTTCTCTCTCACTCCCTCTCTAAAAATCAATAAAAATATATTTTAAAAAATTATACACACACATACACACACTCACACACTCTCTAGAGGCCCGTTGCATGAAATTTGTGCACGGGTGTGGTCCCTAGGCCTGGCTGGTGATCAAAGCACGAGTGTCTCACTTGGAAGGGCAGGTCCCAGCTGACCCCTGGGCCCTGGGAAGCACCTGGGCCCATGGACCTCCATGCATCCCCCTCCGCCTGAGTCACGGTGCCTGAGTCCCACACAGAGATATCATGAGCGCGACTGGACACCATGGTCCGGGGCGTAGCATGGGCCTCTCTGGGCTGCCCAGTGGCGCTGCACAGAAGCCTGGCGGGCAGCACCCTCTCTGCCAGCCAGCCTTGCAGGCCGGCTCCTGCGCAAACCCACATGGAGCCTGACTGGCCCCTGCGGTCCCGGCGGCCCCGGCTCACCCAGAAGAGGGCACGGGTGTGGGGCCGGCTCCTTGTGGGCACCTGGCACCTGAGCACAGGGGCTTCCCTGGCATGCGA